TTTTTACGGTACGCGTGAAGTTCTTTCGTTGTGTCATGTGAAAGACACCAATCGTGAATCGTTCGTACCTAGTTACTAGTGTTAAGTGGTAATACCCAATGTACGGTTATGGTCGCAAAGTATCAAACCAACGGATATTACTGTACATAAGTAGCTATACTAAAACAACTAATAATTGTTGTTTTATGTTTCTGGGAAATTACGCACGTTAATAATATCTAGAGAAAGATAATATGGAATGCAATGGTATGTTTCTTTTATAAATTTGATGTGAAAAAAAATGTCCATGAATTGCATCATATTACAATTCAAAATTATTTAAATAATAAATTTTTTATTCGACGTGTTAACAGTTTGGAAATTATTGGTGATTTTACTGTAGATAAATTCTAATAGAATCAAACACTCATGTTTTATCATTTTTATTGCATATAATATACTTATAACCTAGCCCAAATAATGTATTATTTGTATAATTATTAATTTGTTGTTGCCTACAACGATACCGATTAGTTTTTATCTTATTTTTTTCTCCGATTTTCCGACATAACAAGGCAATTTAATTAATTTGCATTATAATATAATTTATCTTAGGAAGTGTTTTATGGCTAATAAATATTTTAGCGCTCGTGTAAAACGGAACTTATCTACATGTAGTGTGGGTAGGCAGGGTAGCCGGTAAATGTGTATAACTATTATATTGCAGTTTATGCGGGGTCAACGGGAGCCGCGACCGGGTCGTGTACGTGTATTATGTTGATGTAACAAAATGCGCATTTGCTAAATACCATGAATGCCTATTTTACGCACGATGAAATGTGATTATAGGAACTCAATGTTTATTATTCGATCAAACTCGAACCAAAACGTGACGTAGGATATCAACGATCTCGCGGTAACTCCTAGACGTGCGTATTACATTACATAACACAGACACGTCAAATATCGCCGCGTGTTTTTCGAGAGATTAAAAATATATATTTTCTCGTAAAGCGCGCAAGATAGTTAACAACAGTATAACCAGCCAATCGAAATTAACCGATTTTAATTTTGACATCAAATTTCTGTTTATCGACCTTTCTGAATCATCGTTAATTTTTGATTAAAAGTTTCTTCTTTTTTTTCAGAATTAATTAAAGGGCGTAGTATTCCAAGCATCGTTTTAGCATTAAAATATTAATGAACGATTACCATAATACTTATACAAAAGATTTTATTACACTTAAATCTTTTCACGGAATCAAATTTTGCTTATCCTAAATGGCTTGATTTGCTTTAACTTTGAGGTCCGAAACAGTGCAAGAAAATACACCGTTTCCCATGACCTCAATGTTTTTTGTTTATATATGCATCATTATGGTTTACGGTTGACATTTAAAAGTGTATAAATTAAAACTGCATGTAGGTATTTTGATGAGCGTATAGATTTCTAGTCTTGTCAGTGTGGGTTTGCAGTAATAAACGTACCAGTGCGAAGATCAAAGCCCCAAAACGAAATTGTTTTCATTCTGATACTGATGTATCGCAATTATTTGTTTGAGACTCGAATTCGAAAAGTATTATCTCCTAGCTTTTCAAGACGTCATCAAACTTCACAGAACAATCACTTTACAGTATTTGCATATCACAGACAACGACGTTTTTTCCCCATTCTATCTATATGAATACCTAATAATAATATATTATTATTATTTATTTATTTATTTTTATTTGACAAGCCCCGGTAACTATGGTGGTCACTGAATAAAAAAATTAATTTATTTTGACATTTTATCTTAAATTATATTAGGTATATACAATATATATATTTATATACATTGCACATATTATATAAATTATAATCAACTAATTAAATTAGACTTAATCAGAAAGGACATCATAGAGCAGGGGTCACCAACTAATTTCTATGGGGGTCCGTTTTGAAACTTACCAAACTTTACGCGGTCCAAACAGTTTTAATGACTTTTGCACACGTTAATAAATAGGTATTTATAATTTATAAATTTGTGATTATACTTATTTATTTATTCAAATTGTATTATATACACGTTAATAAATAGTAGGTAAATACATTTTTTAAATTTGTATTTATATTTATTTATTTATTCATATTAAATTCATTTATTAATATAAAATGAAAACGCGCTCGCGGTCCGTAAAAAAAGTACTCAAGGTCCGTATCCGGACCGTGGTCCGCCAGTTGGTGACCCCTGTCATAGAGTGTCACCATCGGGTGAAGAATTTCTAAGAGAATGATAAGATAATTCCCCTTCTTATTCTATCGTTTCTAATGTGAGGTATTCAAATATTATATATGTTTGATCATTAGGGTAAACGAAGTCAAAGTAGAAATAAAAGTAAACCACAATTTAATAGTCTCATAACGATAATAATAGATATGCTTTAAGACATTTATGAAAATTGACGCAGTTTTAGTGTTTTAATCAACGAATTCAATAAAACGCAAATTATGCATAATATGATGGGTACAATTACTATAATATCAATACAAAATAATCAATAATAATATTATTACGCGATTTAGCTATAGTTAATAATTAATAAATACACCTATGTCTAAAATTTGCCAAAATCTACGGTTAAAACTTATAAGTACTTTAATCAATACTATTACTTATGTGTGGCGATAATTGACTATTTACAGTAAATTAAAACGTAAGTTTATAATAAAATAAACAAATATTTATTAAATCAAAACAAAAAACTTCGAGCGCGAAAATATGGTTGTACCTATATTATCTAAGAAATGCGAAAAAAACGTTATCTATGCGTCAACACTGAATATCAACATTTAACAAATAACATTGATTATAACTTACTTATCGTCGTTACAACATATATTAAATGTAATGTTCTTTACGATTTATTAAACAAACCATAAATTGGATTTTATTCATAATTTTTTAAGCTGTTAATTAATAAATAATAATTATAGGTAAATATTATTTTATGATATAGGTTTTTATTGTCGATAAAAATTGAGGTGTAGCGAAAAAAATACCAACTGAGTACTGACGATACAATATTATTGTGCAGTCTTTTGAAATAATAAAAAGTGTGTTTATTACTGTTGAGTGTAGGTCACTTAATAATGAATTAAAATATTACCTAAGCAAATAATTTTAAAATAAAATAATTTGACATTATAATAGTCGGAGGGAGCTTAACTTAAAATTGTTAATATGAAGTGAATAAAAATCTGAGATCGTGGAATTTTAATAATAATATATATTTATACGATTTTTTCTGAATTATTATAAATAGAAAATTTGATAAAATAAAAATAAAATATTATATAAAACATTACAGCTCAACAATAATTATCTGCGAACGCGTGCAAATATAAGATAAGCTGTTTAGTGTAATATTTGTAACAAGTGTTAAGCACTATTTTTATATACTATTACAGTGGTCGGTGTTTGAACGAATTTATGAAATTTGTAATGTATTCAGGCAAATAGGGAATTATGTTTTGGCGAATATATTTTAGCAACAGTTAACCGTTATGGTATAAGTACTTGTTGGATTCTATCGCTCCTGCTTCAATGTGACATTATGTCAGCAGTTATTAATCCAATTAATTAATTTTTAAAACAAAGACATATCGTAAAAAACAAATAAAATGTGTGACATATTTTTAGGATCTTTAAGAATTTGCCTTAGTTGAGTGTAATTGTGAAATATTAATAATTATTACGTGTAGCATATTGTGAACAATATATTATTATTGTTTTTTTATTTTTAAGTTTAGTAACCGCAAATAAAAAATATCCGAGTACAGCGAACGGTCACCCGTTGACATAGCACTAACAAACATGTACTTATAACTATTTTATGTAAGTGCAAAATTTTATAAAAATTATTTTATGCTTATTTAAACAAAACTGGAAACGTCTAGGTTAAGATTAAAAAAATACGGTTAGTTGAAAGTCAGTATATAATTAACATTCACAAAAATTAAAAAAAAAATCACAAATTAAGTTTATTGCCGTAACTGCTCTAATTATGACACTTATTAGTTAATACATTAATCTTAATTTTTTTTTTTTTTTTTTTTTAATATAGAATTATAAAACATGTTTTAGAAGTATTACTATAGGTTTTACATACCTATCCTAAACTTGCTTTTAAATGTTTACTATGGTAGTCAATACATTAATAGTGGTGAAAAACCTAATGTACGTATAATACTCATTCAAATACATTTCAATTTCTTGCAATGTAAATAAAAATAAAACAATAGATCCAAAAGCATTACGACCAAAATATATTTCTAATTGACCCATTTTTTATTCAATATTCTATTATCTCACACTCTCTATCTACGTCACTTATTTTTTTCACGTGACTTAGAAAAAAATAAATATTATTTTTATATTTAATAAAACTGCGTAAAAAAGAATAATTTTATGTAATTTTTTTTTCCAATTCAAATTTATTGTTAATAATTTACACATAATAATATTAAAGCACATAATTTAGTATGATTGATAATGCAATCATTATATATAAGTTGTTTAAGTTGTTGACTTGTCTTAAGCTAAATTAAACATGTTTATAATAATAAATAATAACAAATAATGATGTACTTATGTTTTGATCAATCGTAATAAACAATACTTTAAAAAAACAATGTTGTTTGTCTGAAATGTATTATCCGAACAATTTAATTATAAATATAAACCGAATGTTTTCGCTTAAAAAAGTTATTTAAAGCCATTATAGTGGCCGTTTGCCAACTAAAAATTATAGACACGTGTTTTTGCCAAAAAAAATTGTTTGTTTACTAAATTTTTAGTTGATAAAAAAAATGATTATGAAATATTCATACATAGTATAGTATATTGTATATTATAATTCATAACATTTAGCGATTTATAAAATCGACTAGGTGCATAACTCTTTTTTCATTAAAATTATAATGTATTAAATTATCTGTTATCAATAATGACCCCGTTGTTCATGTATGTCGGAGATAGCAGCAGCTGGCTGATGATTATAAAAACGATGGCCTTCCTAAGCAACTATTGGCCTCATCGGAGGTCAGAGCCCCGTGATAAACATTGCAGTGCCACCTTTGCTGCCGTTTATTTTGAACAATTCTATAAATCAGTCAAGTTCTGGTAAAATTTCGATTTGGGAATGAATTTTAATCCGGTTGTATAAAAATTAAAAAGTAATAACGCTAATAACTAATATTATCATACAGATTCTAAGGTGTACGTAAGAGGCAAGAACGTTAAAAATAAACTAGAATTATCTAACTATTATTTTTTAAACAAATAAATTCTAAAAATATAATATAGAGTATCGGTACTCGGAGTCGAATTTACTATAGTTATCACTCGAAAAAATTATAGTAAGTACCTATATTTAATTATTTTTATATAGTTTTATGTTCGATGGACGTACACTAATAATATGAATAATAATTATTATTCTATCCAATTTCGAAGCGTAAACGCGCAATGACTATCGTGTACCCATAATACTATGCAGTGAGTGGCTCATTAAACCTCAACAATTAAATCACATAATTATGTAAAAAAAGTAGTTAAAATAATGTTAATATTTTCCATGATAATGAGTGTTAATAGAAACACGCTGTATGTATACTACACATAGATATCCAACTATTACCATTACGTCTCATATCGTTGGACATTTACCAATTTATTAATATTGTATCGCCACAATTATTATGATATAGTGGTGTTAGTGAAAAATTTCAGAAAAAAATTATACATTTTTCAAAAGTATTCATTTGCGTTTTAGAACATTGATACAATAATGCTACGCGGCACATTACATTCAATAAAATTTATAGATAATATATTATTTTCAAATTCAGAAAATTCATACAAGTTCTGTACCGAATTGAATACTCGTAATGAACTTTAATTTATAAACTGTGAAGTTTTGAAAAATACCTCTAAAAATGTCTAAATTATTTTTATTTTTAGACCGATCACATTTTACAATAATATTTGTCTGCGGCGCGGCGCGATCAGAGAATTTAAAACCGCTAAAGATTGGCAAACCATCAAACGAATTGACATTTTTAGTCACACTCGCGGAATTATGTATATCGTTGTATAAATGTCTTCATAAAAATGGTATCTGTGGCTTGATTTTCAGATTTCGATAGGTGTTTAACAACATTTGTTTTTTTTCAGACTCTCATAATATTATATATTATCAGTTCCTATACGTGTCCGAATGTCCGGTAAGATAATATTAATACACAGTGAAATATCGATAACGAATTTCCGGCGCGCGATAGTCTGCACATATAATACATCAAACAATATTATAATATTTCATACTATATATTATATTACAGTACGATTGTAAGCGTGTCGGAATAATCGGTTTATCGTTCTTTCTATTTGTTGCGCATATATGTATACAGGTACGGTTTAACCATATATCTTTAATCTTTATAGCCTTTTGCGGTAGTGTAGCGATAACTAGCAAAGGAGCAAAATATACGCGTGTATCCAGCTTAACATAACACAGTAGTAATATGTTTCACAACGTTGACCTGTCCGTGACTCGTGTACCGGACCATTGAATGTGTTACTAATGAGTGAACAGATTGCGCTGAAACAAAAATAAAAAACGTGAAATAATATTATTTCCGAAGGGTGAAAAAACCGATTTAATCGTGACTTATTTCCAAAACAATATACAAATTCAACCGTCAGTGAATTAATTCGTAAGCACTAAAAAATGCAATGATTTTTAGATAGAAGACTGCAGAGTCGAAACCAAAGCTCGTACGCGCGTCGGAACCGATCATACATCACCTAGAATCTTGTGTCAAGTGGTGTACAACACTTGTTAATCCTTTTCTTTGTTATGCGTTTGTTCATTTTTTAAAACTCTTAAATATTCACAAAAATCTAATAATTCTAATAGCTCAGAGTAAATATTATAAATAGTTGAACATGATAATATTTTCAGATCCATAGATTTTGTTACACCATTTAAGGTCAACGAACTTTTTTTTTTCAAATCAAGACATCCCTTTTTTACTTTAAATTATCAAACAGTGATTGTTTTATTTTAATTTTAAATATTGATGCATCTTGATAAACATGTTTATGGATAATTATGAATTAATTATTAATTTCCGAATTATTAAACTCATATATACCGAGGATATTATTTACATAGTTTTACATCTATTATACAACAGATGTAATACCTACTCGTATTTATAGTCTAACACTTATAATACTCATACATTTTTTGGTTTTTACAAAAATTTTAAAATATTAATATATTATATTAATTACTTATTATTGTTTTCAAATCATCGTATCAACCTTAGTCCCTCACTTGGTTTTAATTATTCAAATGTGTGAAATTTGACTCATATACATAAAAATTATTTTTAAAACAATTAGCATGATAATTTATCAAAATATATTAATTCTTATTTGAAGAAAAGAAATTTGTGTTAACATATACTTTAACGGCAAAAAGTATTTTAAAATATTATATCTAAGAATTCGTAGATTTACTTAAAAAATTCAATTTGTAATCAAATTATATACTGTGTACCATAGATGGCCAACTTTCGGCTCGTGTATTGTTTATGAAATCCAAATTTACCTGATATTATTATAAATTTTAATTTTTTAGGTATTAGATTATAAAAAAAATATCAAATTATGTAAAATGCGTCTATAAACATTTTGGCTCTTAGTATCATTGTACTTATCTATGTGGCCCGCAAATTTATTCATGTTTACCACCCCTGCTGTATATAGTATAAATAACAAGTAAAACGGAGTATGTAGTAATTTTTGCAACTTCTAGTTATTATTTTAACGTCGCCGTGTTTTGCCTAATTTTTAATTTTTAAATCATATGTTTTAGGACCACTGTGCCGATCCTGCACACAATAATAGACGAAATCCAAAGGTTTGCTCGCAAACACGAGAAGAGGCTAGATCACCATGTCACTCCATTAATCATCCAATTATTACAAACAAGCATTAATGGACTTTTAAATCATCTAACTTTCAGTTTAATTTTTCCCAATTACATTAATCACCGATGCCTCAAGATAAATTGATAAAGTGGAGAATCATTCCTTAAAATCATATTCCATTTCTTAAACATAATTCCTAGGTATAATATATAAGTTCGTTCATTAAACTCTATTTTTCAAGGTTTATTTGTATTTGGTAAACATTCAAAGTCGTTGATTGTGTTTTATATAGTAAACAGATTGTAAATTAATTATTTTTTTTTTGATTAAACAAAAAGTCAACTTTTTCAGAACAACAGACATTGTTATATTGCATTAAATAATTAAATTTAATTTGTTTTTTTATAGTTTGATATAATTATGTGAGCCCTCATCATTATCTCAGCCAATACAAGTATTAATTTTTATTACTATGCTAAAAAATACATTTGTACATAATATGATATATGTGGGATTTAATGATATTTGTTTTTAGTAAAATAAAGCACCTTATTAGGTGCAATATACACTTTATAATACATACATCCTAAAACCACAGGCAAAGTTAAATTAATTTTAAGTGGTTTCCGATTGTAACGATTATTGATATTTTATTAAAGGATACATATCTTAATATTTTTCACTTGTATATAAATTATACATAATATAAATTGTAAAATTTATTACGATTATCTCTAAAACGATTATAAAATCCGATATAATGGAATTGTAGTCATTAATATCTGTTGATTTATTTTATGATCAATCGTTGTCAACAAAAATTCAAACACGATAATAATTTGAAGTAAGTAAATTAAGTCATAAACAATAAGCTTACAATATTATCATGTGTAATATTAATTTCCTTTGTAATATTTCGATCGATCTAAATTTTAAATTACCAATGAATCATCGCATTACTAATTGGATATATTATAATTTATTAGATGAGCTAGCAAAAAAAAAAAACAATGAAAAATCATATTTATGATTTAAACAAAATAAGCGTCGATACGTACTTGTTTTATAATAATTATTCATCAATATTACTATTAACGTAATTTTTAAAAATATTAACTGTTTACATTAGACTCCCGTACTCGAGTTGTCTACATAATAATAGATATTTTGAAATAAACAAATTTTATTGCCGTTAATTGTGTAATTAAAATAAATGTTTTCTGTGTCATACTTAATTGATAGTTTATATAAATTTAAGTTAAAGCGAGCACAATTGAAGCATTCCAATCGGTCGATTAGACCGTCTGATTGCTGCAACGTTTATTATGACGTTACAAAATGTGAACTATACATATCACTTTAATATATAAATAGTAAAATGAACTTGCGTAACTTTACTGTAAAATATTTCAATTCCAATTAACTACAAACAAAAATCTGTTACGATATCAGAAATACTCTCCAATCTCTAGTAAGTGATAAATCAAATAGAGGAAATTCAAAAGAAACCAACCCATACAAACCATCTAAATTAAAACTATAACTAAAAACAGCAAAACAATTTCAGGTATTATAATCGGAAAATGTTTTATGTAATTATTATGTGCAATATTTTTTTCCTCTTGTATAAAAATTGTTTAATTATTTTAGATAAATTTATATATTTTGAATTAAAATTAATATAATAAAAAATATAATTTTTGTTATAAATACTGATTTATATATTATCAATACATAAAGCTTAAATTTTTTATTTAAGTTCACTTTAATTCTTGTCATGCTTGAAAATCGTGATCTGAATTATAAAATCATTTAATTCGAAAATTTTTTCAAAATAAATACTCAAGTCAACATTCAAACCCTAAAAATTTTCTTCCGAATACTTGAAAACGATTATATACTATAATTTGTAATAACAGACGCGCAATAACGTTAATAAACGTCAGATTCTTATATAATTTGTAGTTATAAAAATCTTTAATCCAAAGATTAATATGTTTTTAGCTGTTCACATTTAACTATTTGAATTTAAGTTATTATGTAACAAAATTTCAAATTATAAGTGTAATCATTTACAATGATCAATAATAATTTTAAATTTTAACGATGCCATCTGCGCAGTTTTAACTGATACCTATCATAGATTATAATTTACATAATTTACTATTATATTAGTATATCCGTAATAATATATTATAGCCTTGAAACCAAATTGTTCAAACAAATTATTACATTATACTTCACAGATCACTTAAACAAACGTGAGCTGTAAAATTGATAAATTTATTTACACTCTAAATTATTGATAAATGTTCGTGATGTGTAGTATACATCTATACTGTGTACAAATTGGCACGTGTTAATTAAATTCTAATAAAATATTAAGTATTTGAGTACACACAAATGAAACGTTATCTTAAGGTTAGGATGGTTAGTTAACCTAACCGTTACCATTCAACGTTTTTGTTTCTTTTCTTTTTAAGGATAGATAACACGGTCTTTGTTGTGTATTAAAATGTGCAAATAAATTTAATTCGATAAGTTTTAAATTGCAAAACGCTAATCAATAGTTCTCATCAAAAGCACGTGCACGCTTTAACAAATTAACAAAATGATTAGCGATTATTTATTACCTTTATTTTTTTTTTATGATATTTAGAATTTTACCATATTATACAGTAGATTAATGAACTTAACTTAATATCTACTGAATGATGTAATTTGAATCTTTCAACAAACTTTGTACAGTTATTTATGCTATTATTTTGTGACTATGGTTGAACAATGATGTACGATCAATAATTATTATTCTAGATTAATTAGTACTTGATTATTAATATTTGGTGAGTAATTTTGCACTCAATATTTTTGAAATAAAATGTTGTAAAGACATACATTTATTTAATTATGAGATATGTTACTATTTGGATGATTTCCTCGTCATGCTATTTATCTCATTGTATATATTAGTTTAACAAAATTATTGGAAATTGTCTTATTTAAAAAATACATTTTTGAAATATACAATTAAAATTAGCTAAAAATGTTTTAAAATATAGAGCTAAAATTATAGGAAAATTGTACATACATAAAAATGTACATTGATATAATATATATTAATAATTGTTGAAAAATAATTAAATTTGCCGATTTTAAAATGATTGGGTAATGTTGTATATAAATATATATTGGTGAAATCTTGTGCTAAATTTTACCATTTTTAAAAACAAATATTTATCTTACCTAGAATATTGTATAATATTCAAGAAGTCTTAAATACTATTAAAGACAAACAATTGTATATGTATAATGTGTATATTATGTAATCATTATTTTTTAGGGTTAATTATCGAGAAATATCAAACACAAAAAAATATTGGTGTGTACTTAAAAATCTAAAAAATTGTCTAGTTTATAACCTAAATATAAAATTATGAGTAACTAGTTTTTGTTTGATCGAGTCTGGTATGAAGGGCTATTGCACAAACTATTATTTTTACCTACCCCATTTTTCCTCTTACTCAAATAATTCGTATCAAACTGCACATTTTCAGTAAGATGTGATGAAGAAATATCTGACCCACATCTAATAAGAGCTGGAGCTCTTCAAGGCAGCATCCTTTTTCCGACCCTTTATAATATATACACAGCAAACCAACCCAATCTACTAACACCACTCCAGCTACCTTCGCCAATGACACAGCCATATCCTAACCAAATCCGAAATAGACACCGCTGTAAACAACCTCCAAGATCACCTAACCTAATTACAAAATTGGTTCAGCTTATGGAAGATTAAAATTAATGAAAACAAATCATCTCATATCACTTTTACCTTCAGGCCTAAAATAATACCCCCTGTTTACATCAAAAATCAAATAATTCCAATGGAAAAATTGATCAAATACCTAGGTCTCATTCTTGACCAAATATTAACCTGAGCTAATCACATCAAAGCCAAAAGAACTTCGCTTAACCTCAGGTTTCACAAATTAAGACCACTTCTTTGATCCAAAACCTCTCTTACTAATAAAATTCTAATTTACAAACAAATTTTACGTCCCGCAATGACATACGGAATCCAGTTGTGGGGAATACCGAAAACTCAAACCTCATCAAATTCCAAGCGTTCTAATCAATAACTCTCCGCGTCCCCTCCAATGGTACGTCAGCATCCTCACCCTGCACTACAACCTCAACTTACTACCAATATTCTCATTTGCTTCTTGTCATT